CGTGCCCCCCCCCCCCCCATACACACACTTATTTTCCGGGGCCCACACAGTTCAGAGCATGTGACCCCCGACAGCCAACCACCTTGCCTGCTGCTCCCAGCACCAAGCATCCAAGCTGCTGATGCCCAGGGACAGCAGAGGCAAAGCAAAAACCCAGACATTTGCTTGCGTTTTAAAAACCTGCCTGGACATGAGGACGAGGGGGCAAAAAAGAGGACATGTCGGGGAAAACCGGGACGTATAATAACCCTACAAGTGTCAGAAAGTGACCAAGCTCTGTCTTTAAACAGCTAGGATTCCTTTTCCCTGTTGCTTGTGTTGGGAGGCAGTTTCAGATCCTCATTTCACTGAAGGCTTGAAGCCTTTCTCTAATTTCCAGTCTGATCTGGTGATAGCCCAGTTATAGAAAAAAAACTAGCATATGCATGTGGGCAGTTTTTGATGATCCAGCAACACAATTATGAAATTTGTTTGTGCAGGGGAGGTGGGAAGAGGAGGAGGAAGTGGAGTGGAAAGTGATCCTGTATTCATAATTTCTTCCTTTTGTCTTCAGAGAGATGGCATTATGACAGTGGATGTTGGGACAGGGAGGAGGAAGTGGAGTGGAAAGTGGTCCTGTATTTATAAATTTCTTCCTTTTGTTCATTGCTTGAAGGGCATGAGGATTTTGAATACTGAGTGAATGTTAGCTGGTCTGTCAAATATGACCTGTGGACTGACTCTTAACAGTCACCCTACGTTCATCTGATCACCACTCATAACAATCTCTTATTTCACAATTGTTTTTAAAAGGTATCCAGACACGAGCAGTAAGAAAAGGCGATGATTATGTCATAAATGGAGGCAAGATGTGGACTACTACTGGGTGTCAAGCTGACTGGATGTGTCTACTGGCAAATACTAGTGAAGGACCACCCCACCAAAATAAATCTCTCATATGTCTGCCAATGAAACTATCTGGTAAAAGAACTCGATTATTTTTCTTATTGTGTATGTTTTAGTGCTTTTTAGCATATGTGATAGAACATAAAAACCTTGTGGAGAAAAAATAATGCAGCTTCAAATGCTTTCTACATGTGTGGTTAAACAGAGTAGCTCTGTAACACAGAACTGTTAAACAAGATGTACTCAAAAGGAATCCAGAAGTCCTGGAATAGGGGAGAACAGGAAGAGAAAAAAGGAGGAAATGAAATACTTTGCAGACTTCACCTTCTGGTCCCAAGGGACTTTTGTTAAAAATTATTTCTGTCCAGAAGTTTTTAAAAGTTTATCAAAATGTATTTGTTTATAACCTCTGTGAGAATAGATAGCTGCATGCTCAGAGGCAACCAGCACGGGTTCATCAGCGGCAGGTCCTGTCAGACCAACCTGGTGGCCTTTTACGACCAGGTCACTAAATCATTGGATGCAGGGGTGGCAGTGGATATAGTTTTCCTAGACTTCAGGAAGGCTTTTGATACTGTCTCTCACCCCATTCTCATTAGGAAGCTGGGGGACTGTGGCGTAGACACCCATACAGTCCAATGGGTCGCCAACTGGTTAGAGAGTCGCACCCAGAGGGTGGTAGTGGATGGGTCCTTCTCGACCTGGAAGGACGTGGGAAGTGGGGTCCCACAGGGCTCGGTCCTTGGGCCTGCCCTGTTCAACATCTTCATCAGTGATTTGGATGAGGGGGTGCAAAGCACCCTGTTCAAGTTTGCTGATGACACTAAGATGTGGGGGGATGTGGGCACAATAGAGGGGAGCAACAGGCTACAGTTGGACCTAGATAGGTTACAAGGATGGGCGGAGGAGAATAGGATGGGGTTTAACACAGACAAGTGTAAGGTGATGCACCTGGGGAGGAACAATCGGCACCATACATACAGGCTGGGGAACTCCCCTCTTGTCAGCACGGAGGTGGAAAAGGATCTGGGAGTCATTATTGACTCCAAGATGAACATGAGTCGGCAATGTGGGGAGGCGGCTAGGAAGGCCAACTGCACCTTGTCGTGCATCCACAGATGCATCTCGAGCAGGTCCAAGGAGGTGATCCTCCCCCTCTATGCGGCACTGGTCAGGCCGCAGCTGGAGTACTGCGTCCAGTTCTGGGCGCCGCACTTTAAGAGGGATGTGGACAGCATCGAGAGGGTCCAGAGGAGGGCCACTCGTATGATCAAGGGACAGCAGGGTAGGTCCTATGAGGAAAGGTTGCGGGACCTGAACCTGTTCAGCCTTCAAAAGAGAAGGCTGAGGGGGGATCTTGTGGCCTGTTATAAACTGGTTAGGGGGGATCAGCAGGCGCTGGGGGAGTCCCTGTTCCCCCGAGCGCCGCAAGGAGTGACCAGGAACAATGGTCACAAGCTGGCGGAGGGAAGGTTTAAGTTGGACATCAGGAGGCGCTACTTCACGGTCAGGGCGGCTAGGGTCTGGAACCAGCTTCCAAGTGAGGTGGTGCAGGCTCCCACCCTGGGGGTTTTTAAGAGGAGGTTGGATGACCACCTTATTGGGGTCATTTGACCCCAGTGCTCTTCCTGCCATGGCAGGGGGTTGGACTAGATGATCTGCTCAGGTCCCTTCCGACCCTAGAAACTATGAAACTATGAAAACAAGGAGCTGCCAAGGGCAAAATTAATAGTGTACAAAAGCACAATTAAAAACAGAGCAAAGCAGCATTCTGAAGAAATAATATCAGCATGTCCCATGTCTTGGTTCTGGAGATGATCCACATACCCTTTATCTTAAAAGCTTTCTTTCCCCAAGAGATACTTAGTTACATCCAGCCCTTAAATGCATCATGTATGATTTCATCTTTATTACTCATAGGGTTTTGCTGGTTATAAATTGTGAAGTATGTTCACAGTTTATGAAATGCTGTTTCCTATGAACTAGAATTAGTGTACAGCATATATAGGTGATAGATTCAGTAATATAAAGCAAATAAACAAACAAGCAGAAACTATTCAGTCCGAGTTAAGGTCTCTCCTTCCTGTTTTGTGCCTTGCCAAAATATGAAGTGCTGTGATACTCAAACTTCTGAAAATCAGAAAATAAGAATTTACCTCAGCAAAGAGGTGTGAGAATCAATGCACTCTATTTCCTGAGAGATGGCACTGTCTGTTAAGACGGAGTTTACATGTGCAATGGATCGGATGACCGTATGGGACAATGTGAAATCTGGAACACTTATACACTTTCATACGGGACAGCCTACCTTGGCAGGTGTTTTGCGATCATAACATCTGATGAAGTAGACTCTTGCCTGTGAAAGCTTATGCCTCTCTGAACCAGTTAGTCTGTAAGATGCAATCCTACCCTGCCTTCTGCCTAACTTCAGCCCAACACACTAAGCACCACTCTCTAGAAAACAATGAGTTGAGGTATTCCAAACTTAAACTTCTCATAGGAAACACACAGTAAAGGAATATGCCACTTTAAAGGAACACGCAACCTTAACATTGACATCTTTGTGTGAGGACCCAATACATTCACAGCTAGGGTAGCCATATGTCCTGGTTTAGCTGAGAGAGTCATGGATTTCAGGGGCCAGCCCCGGTCTGCTGTTGAAAATTAAAACAAGTCCTGGGTGCAGGGTGCAGAGAGGGGAGGTGGAGCGGCAGAAGTTGTGAAACAGGAAGCCGTAGCAGACAGCAAAACTGCCCTAAAATAAGCTCGCTTGATTAGTGGAATCACCATTAAAAAAGGGTGCCTGTCACCATTTTCTGCTTTTAAGAGATGTGATTGTTGTTGACGTTAACATTTCCTTTTTGGAAAAGCACAAGGAAAACTTGGCAACCTTATCTTTGTGTTAATGAATTCTCTTGCAGTGAATCTCTTAGTATGTTTTAACAGCAAAATAATTGTTTTAGGAGTGAATGGTCATTCAAGCAGCTGTAGTTATCAATTAGATTTGAAGCTGAGGTCAAAATGGGGCTAGATTAATAATGATATAATTATATAAAAGTATGTAAGCTCTTGTATGGCCTTTTGTTCAGAAAAATCTCAAAGTGCTTTACCAAGTAGGTAAACATCATTATCACCATTTTGCATAGGGATAAACTGAGGCACCAAGAGATGAAGTGACATGGGCAGGATCACTGAGCAGGCCAGTGGCAAAGCCAACAGTAGTAACTAGAATCTTGCTCCACTGTTCTCTCTGTTAGGCCACACTAAATATGACCTGAGTTTCTGTCTCACCTCACACACCCTTTGTTATAACAGGAGGGAGATAATGGCCATGTTTTGAATGTTCAGAGTATGGTGCTAGTGTAGCAGGTGTTGTGGGTCTGCCACCCTGGCACTTGGTGCCCCCTGAGGTCCAATCCACCTGCTGGCTGTCTCCAGCCCGACCTCACCTCTGGTCTCTCACCTGCCACACATTTGAAGTTATCCTTTGGTTTATCGAGGAAGCAGTCCCTGGGGCTGGGAGTAGCCCCTCTGGTTCCTTTGGCTTGGTTCTGTCCTTGTGTCTAGATCCAACTCATACCTGAGGATCTGTGCTCCCCTCGGGCACTTCCCCTTTAAGGGAGCAGCCCCTCAGACCTCCAAGCACTTGTCAGGGCTTCAGCAGTCTCAGTCTTGGTCCTTTTTTTCTATGGCCAAATCCTCAGCCTGGGTCCTCTGTCTAAAACCTCAGCTCCCAAGCATCAGTTCAGACTTGGCTGCAACCCCTCCTGGGGCTCCAGCTTCACTCCTCCAGCCTCAGCAATTTGGATCTATCTCACGGGTAGGGAAAATACATCCTGTGGGCCGGATCCAGCTGCCGGCTGATTGAATCTGGCCCATAAGCAGGTGCACACCAAGTGAATGGATTTAGCCTTCTGGTTCTGACAGCTGTGTGGTGTTGGGACGCTGGGGCTGCTTCCAGCATGTCAGATACTTGCTTGCTCACTCTTTCTCCCTCTCTCTCTTGGGTCAGGGCTGCCACCAGCATGGAAGCAGAAGCATGAACCTGACTGCAGCTGTAGCACACCCTGCCACTCTCCCCCCCTCTCACTGCTCCCAAGTCTGGACCCAGCACTTGTCAGTCACATCCACGTCTGCCCAAACGTGGCTGGCAGCTTCTGGGTCAGGGCTCCAGGGACAGGGGCAGGCAAACTACAACTGCAAGTGAGTTCAGGCTTTTGTGCTGGTTTCGTCTCACAGCTGTAGCGCATCACACCACTCCCAACATCTGGAACCCTGATTTTAAAGCTGCCTGTCACATTTGGGCAGCTGTGGACACAGCCAGCAGCTGCCGGGAATATGACTCAGAGGAGTGTGCTATAGCTATGAATGGGTTCAGGCTTCTGTGCTGATTGCAGCCCCAGGAGGGAGGGGTGGGGAGAGGGAGTGGGAGACAGAGACGAAAAGAAAGAGAGGTGTGGCCCCTGACAGGTCACCAAAGCTCAAATTAAGTGGCTTGCCAGCCCAAATAATTGCCCACCCCAGTCTAACCCCTGATAGTGGGGAGTGCCTCCCAAGCACCCCATTCATGGTCTCATCCTCCCCAGCTTGCCACCATGTTGGTCCTAGAATCCCCTGCCCTCATTACATGGTCCCTGACATCAGAAGATCTACCCCTCCACAGGGCCTGCCCTCATGGTGCATGGTGTGCCCTGGCACCCCAAAGTTCTGCCCTCTAGGTCATGAGGCACAAGCTTAACTTATCAGGTAGCAAGTGATTGTGATCCCTCTAACAACCTGTCCCATCTTTCTGAACCAGTCAGTGGGAGTTTCAGGCATGTTAGACCTCCCCAAGAATAGCACCAAACCAACTGAGTTGAGTCAAGGGCCGCACACACAAAATATTTCAGAAGAAATCATTTAAAAGTAAAGACAAAAAAACCATACGCTTAAAAGCAAACATCCACTATAATAAATTTTAATTTTATTTAAAAAAATATTTGGGTCCTAATTTATGTGTTTGCATACTAGTTCAAAATAAAGTCTTAGTCTTGTATATTGTGTGTGAGGGGGTAGGGAGGTGTATGTGGTGGAGA